CTATCTATCTATCTATCTATCTATCTATCTATCTATCTATCTATCTATCTATCTATCTATCATCTATCTGTCTATCTAGCATCATCTATCACCTGTCTATGGATGAGAATCCAGAATGGTCTGTCTGTCTGCCTGACTGTCTGTCTGTCTAATTTATACAGCAGCCTATATTGCAATGCAATTAAAACTCTGGTGTGTTCAAGGGTTTGTATTGAGAATTAAGTTGCAGTCACAAGCTAGAATGGATGCTAGAGTAAAAGCATTGCATGCTTCTCTTTGAATCAGGGAGTTTTATGTTGATGATTAACACTTTCCCAAATATATTTACTGCATGGATCTATTTTCTTCCTCTGTCCAAGGGGTTTGGGATCAGCCCTTGATACTGTCATTAACCTCAGTTATAGCCGTGCAGGAAACACCCCTCAACACTCTATCCCGACTTCAATTTTCATGTTCAATTTTTTTTGTTTTAATGGGGTTGGGATTTTTTTTTTAATAGACAAGGAGAGCAAACATATTTGTCTGCTTTTGCAATCTCATTATTTCCTTTGTATGCAATTATTTCCTTGCCAAACAATAGCAGTGACAAATTGCAACAGAATCCTGCAGCAGATTTTTAACCCAAGGTAAAAATAAACAGAAACATCTGTATAGCAATCGCGTATGAAGCTACATTCATTAACAAATACATTTTTCTAATAAAACCACCATCTGCAAGTAACCCTCAGCTTCGACTTGATAGAAGTAGGCCTCTTTTCCCCTCCAAGTTTTCCGAGGCTGTTCCCAGAACGTTTTTCCAAACTTTCCTGCGAAACACATCTGTCTTCGTTGGTCTTTGGAATGTGAATAAATAATGTTGAGGGATTCCCCCCCCCTTCGCTTTCTTCTTTAAACCAGTCAGACAAATTACAGGCTCAAAACAATTACTCCCAGTGGTGATAAGAAAGCTGACGTCAACCAGAAGATACCTTTGGAATATACCTTTGCTTATATTTAATGTAAAATATATATTGTTGGCATTGAAACCAAGATTTGAGGAATTCTGGATCAGTTCTATTGTTTTGTTCTGCTTCTGATCTGCCAATGATCCTCTCAAAAGCTAAATACCTCCTGTAGATTCACTTTGGATCTGGTATTGAGAGGCAGTGTGGTTTAGTGGTTAAGCCGCCAGTGTAGAAAGGGAGAGATTGGGAGTTCTAGTCCTGCCTTAGGTTAGGGTTAGGGTTAAGGTTAGGTATGAACACCCGCTGGGTGGCTTTGGGCCAATCACCAGGAGACGGTGAGTTCTAGTCCTGCCTTAAGCATGAAAGTCAGCTGAGTGACTCTGGGTGAAGGAAAAGAAAAGGGAAGAGGGAAGAGAAAGGGAAGGGAAAGGAAAGGAAGACTATTGAGAAGGAAAAGGAAGGGAAAGAAAGGACAGGAAAAGAAAAGGGAAGAGGGAAGGGAAAGGAAAGAGGAAAAGAAAGGAAGGGAAAGGGAAGGAAGACTATTGAGAAGGAAAAGGAAGGGAAAAAAGGACAGGAAAAGAAAAGGGAAGAAGGAAGGGAAAGGGAAAGGAAAGGGGAAAGGAAGACTATTGAGAAGGAAAAGGAAGGGAAGGAAAAGGAAGGGAAAGGAAGGAATGGAAGGAAAGGAAAAGAAAAGGGAAGAGGGAAGGGAAAGAGGAAGGAAAGAGGAAAGGAAGACTATTGAGAAGGGAAAGGAAAGGAAATCTGGGCAGATATGAGGAAATACCAGGATTTGCCCCACTGCAGTCCAACTTCCTAGGGGGAAAAAAATCTATCTACATCTTGGCAAGTTTTTATTTGTTTTGTCCTAAGCTGGAAGAAGAATTGCCTATGTTGACCTCTGAGCGTGACCATCAGGGATCCTTCAGCAGCCCTTGAAATTGTGCAAATGCTTCCTAACCAAGGCAGGATTGAAAGGCAAACCCCATCCAATTGGGGAATTAAATTCCCCACATCCAAATATCGATTGGAATCACAAAATCAAAGCCAACCCCTCTGAGCTCACTCGAAAAGTTTCTGCCCAGATGCCAAAAGCCTGTTCCCAAATCGGAATGGAATCACGCATAGTCCCCCAATGGATGCCCCCTAGGCAACTGTCTCCTAAAGATGCTCCAGTGGGGGTTGTTTGTGAGTAAAAATACACCAGGTCAGTTCTCAGCTTCTCCCCCAAAGAGCTACAAAACGTTGCTATATTTCACAAAACATTTCATATTTTTTTGTTCTCCAAGTTGTCTATTCATTCAGTATTTCTAATCCCATTCATGTCACAAATCCTATTTCTGCCTTCACAACAACCACCAAAAAGAAATGCTATCTTTAATTAGAAAGCCAAGTACACTGATTGCCAACAAAGCCTCTTAGGATTAAGACTAAGATATAGTGTACAGTCAAACAGAGAGAGGGGGGGGGGGAGAGGGAGGGAGAAAGGGAGGGAGAGAGAGAGAGAGAGAGAGAGAGAGAGAGAGAGAGAGAGAGAGAGAGAGAGAG